GGCCATCTCCTCTGTCTTTCTAAGGGTGGTCAGAGGAAACCCTGGTCAACCTCCGCGCTGTGAGGATGGTGGGTGGCATCATGGCATCCACAAAAGAATTGTATGCGCCGACGAGCGGTCGGCATCGTTATACAAGTCTGCAGTGTCTCTGGTGGGGGAGGTTTGGGAGGGCGCCAAGCTGGAAGCCGTGGAGGAAAAGGATCTTCCTGGCCGCCCGCGGGCCCGTGTCTGGCTCCCCCCCGAGCCCTCCGCACCGGAGGAGATTGAGGAAATCCTCCGTTACTGCAACCCGCAACTGCCCACGCACAACTGGAGGGTTGTCAGATTCGAGGGGTCCGAGGATTCCGAGGAGTCGCATCGGCAAGCGCTGATTCTACTCAATGCGGAATCCCTCGGCCCTCTCGCTGAGTCCAGGGGAGTCATCACCTATGGATTCGAAAGGGTAGTCCTTAGGGTCTACCAATCCGATTCCAGGGGTGATGGCTCTCAACCTCCTGAGGTGCCGGAAGCACGTGAGCCCGCGGCGGAGGAAGCCCCCATGAGCATGGAGGTGGAATCCGTCGTGTCGGGGGCCGAAAGTGCTGAGGATGCCCTCTCAACGGAGGGATCCGTCGTCAGCATCGGACGGTTCTACGACAGGGCAGAGGAAGAGAGGCTCTTAGCCTCAGTAAACGAGGACGTCGAACTGGCGTGGCTGGAGCGGACTTTGGAGGATGAAGATCCTGCAAATAAACCTACAACATTCTAAGGCGGCGTCCGCAAATCTCCTTATCCACCTTGAGCAAGGTGGAGCCGATGTAGTCCTGGTCCAGGAGCCGTGGCTAAGCAGTAGCGGTATCTCCGGGATCAGGACGCCTAATTTCAAGCTGATGGTGCAGAATCAAGCAGGTAGACCAAGATCCTGCATGCTCATCAGAAACGAACTCAAAGCACTAATTCTACCTAATTTCAGCAACGAGGACATTGTGACTGTCAGCCTGGATAGCGGTGCCGGATAGCTCTGGATCATATCCGCTTACATGGCTCATGATGACGAGGTGGAACCACCTCCATTACTGCTGCGTGAAGCCATAGCCGAAGCGAGGCGACGGAAAGCCGACGTAATTATTGGGTCGGATGCAAATTCACGACACTCGTGCTGGGGAAGCTCAGATATAAATGCAAGAGGTGAGTCACTTTTTGATTATATTCTAAGTGTAGACTTATGTATCTGTAATAGAGGAAACGAACCGACCTTTATCACCGCGGCAAGGCAAGAGGTCCTTGACCTCACCCTAGCCTCGTCTTCTGTAATATCCCGCCTTTCCGACTGGAGGGTTCTTAATGATCACTCCTTTTCGGACCATAGGTATATTCAGTTTTTTCTGGACGAAGATCGTCCCAAAAGTATCCCCTTTAGGAACCTTAGGAGAACAAACTGGGACCTCTATAGTAAAAAACTTCGGGAACTACTCCCAGAGGCCCCCCAGGAGAGCTTAAGCACCGAAGGCTCGATTGATGTTATGGTGGAAAATTTTACATCAGCTTGTAGGAGTGCCATCGAAATCTCTTGCCCGCTGAGTAGGCCGGGGGGCAAAGTACGACCAAAATGGTGGACGGTGGAACTCTCAGAACTCAGGGCGACGAGTAGACGCCTGTTCAATAAAGCCAGGAAGAGTGGACAACACTCCGACTGGGAACTCTATAAGATCGGACTGGGCATCTATAAGTCCGAGATAAGAAAGGCCAAGAGCGAGTCATGGAGAAACTTCTGCGAAGCCGTAGAAGGTTGTAATGAATCATCTCGATTTAGGCGAATCCTTGCGAGGAATCCCGTACCCTTGGGATACCTGAGGGACGAAGAGGGCAACTGGGCGATGAGTGGAGAGGAGTCGCTTAAGCTACTCCTTGATACTCATTTCCCAGAAAATCCTGCACCGCGCGAACCTATCGCTGTTGGAAAGGGCGAATGCTCTACCTCCTCCTCCGGTGAATTACTGGAGAGGCGCCGACTGCTCTGGGCAATCGACTCGTTCAAGCCCTTCAAGTCCCCGGGACCGGATGGCATCATTCCTGCGCAGCTGCAAAAGGCTGTGGAGGTCTCGTGCCGCTGGCTCACCCCTATCTATGCGAGCTGCCTAGAAAGAGGATACATCCCGGGGGCTTGGAGGTGCGTAAGGGTCACGTTCATCCCCAAAGCAGGGAAGAACTCTCATGTATCCCCGAGGGACTTCAGACCAATCAGTCTCTCATCTTTCTTATTGAAGACTTTTGAGAGACTGATTGACCTGCACATAAGAAACAGGATTCCTCGAGAGCGTTTTAGCCCCTCTCAACACGCCTACCTGAAAGGTAGATCCGTGGAATCTGCCCTGCACTCAATCGTCAAAACCATAGAGGAGTCTCTTAAAAACAAAGATTTTGTAGTGGGTACCTTCCTTGATATCGAGGGGGCTTTCAATAATGTCCTTCCTGGGGCGATAATAAGAGCCCTTACTAAGCTCGGAGTCGAGAGCTACTTAGTAAGGCTCATCTCACACTTGCTGCACGACAGAACTGTCACAGCGGAATGGGGCAACGCCTCTGAGCAGCGTAAAGTAAGCAGAGGCACCCCGCAGGGAGGCGTCCTTTCACCCTTCCTCTGGATAGTCGTGATAAACGACGTCCTGGAGGAATTGGAGAGGACAGGATGCCGGGTTATTGCCTACGCGGATGACGTGGCACTCATCGTCAGAGGAAAGTTCTTGAACACTCTGTACGATCTCATGCAAGGGTACCTAAACAGGGTCACAAATTGGTCCGCTAGCTGCGGGCTTGCTGTCAATCCTGGAAAGACGGAGCTCGTTCTTTTTACCAGGAGGTACAAAAAGCATCATGCCCAGCTTCCCTCAATAGGGGGTGTTCCACTTGTTCTCTCTGACAGGGTCAAGTTCTTGGGCGTGATCCTGGACGGAAAACTGTCATGGAAACCTAATATTGAGGAACGAGTGAGGAAGGCATCGGTGGCCCTCTACTGCTGCAAGAATGCCATAGGGAAGAGATGGGGCCTCTCCCCAAAAGTGATGTATTGGCTATATGAAACCATAATTAAGCCAATAATATTGTATGGGGTCATCGTCTGGTGGAGTTCACTGGAAAAGACCACTCATGTTAGGAAGCTAGAGCGCGTGCAAAGGGCAGCCCTCGTTGGGATCAGCGGGGCGCTCCGAACCACTCCACCACCCAGCGCTAAACGCTATACTCAATGTCGCACCTGTCGATATTTCGGGCAAAGTAGCGGCGGTTCGCTCAGCCATTAGGCTCAAAAGCTCTGGGTTCTCTTTCAATCCAGCGCACGGACACTCGACAATTCTCGAAAGCTTCGACTTCGTGCCGAAAGAAATGGACCGGGGTCACCCGAGGCTGGCCCCTAAAGGATCCTTCTCCACGCACATCCCCTCTAGGAATGAATGGAAGAGGGGTGGTCTTTGGAGAAGAGGTCCAATAAACATCTTTACGGACGGATCGAAGCTGGAAGGGAGAGTTGGAGGAGGTGTCTACTGTCAGGAACTCTCAGTAGATCTTACTTTCAGACTGCCGGATCTCTGCAGCGTCTTTCAGGCAGAGGTGGCCGCTATAAAGGAGGCAGCCGATTGGCTACGCACCAATGTACTGTCAAAAAGGAGGGTAAATATATATACTGATAGCCAGGCGGCAATCAGGGCGGCAATCAGGGCGCTGGGATCGCTAATGGTGTGCTCAAAACTGGTTGGGGAATGCCTGACCTCTCTCTCAACTGCCTCGGAGTACTTCCAGATCAAGCTGATTTGGGTCCCGGGGCACAGTGATATCGCGGGAAATTGCAGGGCTGATGAACTGGCCAGGCAAGGCACCCTTGAGGCCATCACCTCGGATAGGGAGGGCATTGGAGTTCCGTTGGCAACCTGCGGCCTGCTTTTGGACAGATGGGCTCATGGTCGGCTCAGCGAGCGCTGGGAAAAAACCCCGACTTGCAGAGTTGCAAGGTCCTTCTGGCCGGTTGTGGACCGCGGGCGGTCAAGGGAACTGCTGCAGCTGGCTAAGCGTCAGCTCTCGATTTTCACAGGTGTACTGACCGGACACTGTCCAATGGGAACCCACGCGGTGCGACTCAATATCGTCACGGATCCCTACTGCCGCAGTTGCCTGGAAGACGAGGTGGAATCATCTCAGCACTTCCTACTCAACTGCCCGGCATTCGCTAGATTACGGTTTAAGCATCTCGGTGCCCATTTCATCGACACTCCCGAGGGACTCTCCGGAGTGGACATCAGCTGTTTGAAGAACTTCATTATGAGCACCCAGCGCTTCTCGTAATTTTTACGCAGTTACCGTTCCTATGTAATGTGGTATCACAATGGACAATCAAATGTCTAAGTGAGTCCCCTTTGCGGGTCTGCCACCTTAACCTAACCTAACCTAACCTATCTTTAAAAACGTGTTTGCAATTTTTCACTTCACTGAAACAAGTAACGGCATATACGTGGTTTTGCTTGCATTTGATTGAA